AGAGAGAGAGAGAGAGAGAGAGAGAGAGAGAGAGAGAGAGAGAGAGAGAGAGAGAGAGCAGTTCAAATTCGGAAGAACGAAAAAGAAATCCCTCCACTTCCGAGCGTCCGTGCTGGAAGCGGAGGCAGACGATCTGTGAACGAAACTCGGGAAAGAAGCGGAGAAACGGCGGAAGGACATGTGGCATAGGCACACGTGTTGCGGAACACCGTGGTAAAACCTTCACTGATGGCGCTGAACGCTTCGTCCTTCACAGATTCGACCACGATGGCGGGTCGAACCATGAAGTCATGCCACTGGCTGTGGACCGTGCAAGGCAGGTGAGCAAGAAAACGGCGATGGTCAGCTCGTGCGAAGGTGCATACACATCTGCGGCGAAAGGAACACGGTAGAGCAGGAGGGTAGGATGAATGGGCACAAAGATCATGACTGCGTTGCAGGTTGTCGCCATTGGCCTGATGGCATTGGAACGTTGGGTGACGTAGGGTGTATGCGTAACGGTTCTCTACTGCAACCTCGCCTTCGTGTCCCGCATGCTCTTCGGGCCGTCACAACTTAGCGAGAACGTAACGCTTCCGTGAAACGTGGAGAGTGCGAGCGTGGTCCGCATCGACGTGCAGAAGGTGCAGCGAGGGCACCGGCGGGCGAACGAGTGGTAGGTGCTCGCGCATTACAAGTCCTGACGATGGAACGAGAGCTCCCGGGTGATGCGAAGACATTAACGACATTGGAGAGAAACACGGTGGTTGCAGCTGTGTCAGTCGTCACCATGCGTTATCACATTGAGAGAACGACAACTCGCCTGAGGATGAGATTGTTCGTTCACAGGCAGAGACAGTTGATGAAACAAGTGATGGATGCACCCGATTGTGTGTCGCTATCGGAATCCATTGTGCAATTCTTGTGCGCCATGGCATCGAGTGTGATCCCACGGGTGACGCCGATATGGTGGATGAGGAGAAGGACGGGAGGGACATGGGAGGATCTCCGACAGGTTAATGACGCGGTGGAGGGCTACTACAAGGAGAAGCTGCGGACTGGAGTAGTCAATGGCGCTCGTCGGTTGTCTGCTGGAGGTTTCCCGCCTGTCCATTGTCGTCTTCCTCACCGTTCATCGTTTTTGTCTGCTGCCAGGACCCCGCACAATGATGTATAAGTGGAACACCACAACAAGGAGCAGGAGAAGAGTGGCCAGCAGCAGGAGTAGGAACTGCCGGAGGACGTCTGCCATGAATCGCAACTTGCGAGGCGTGTACCAAACAAAGCTTGCATCAATGCGCCCAACAATAGCCGACAAAACACGCTAGGCAGATGCCTGCAATCGACCGACAGTGCTTCAACATCACTTGTAGAAAAAGAAAAAAAAAATCGACCGAAGGCCGTTGGGGGACCGTCGGGTACTGGAGGCCGGCGATGTCCGCCCAATGGACCACGGACGACCTGCGCACCAACATCGACTCCAAATTTTCCTGTCGGCGCTCACTCCAGAACACTCCATCAATCGTGGCTCCTTGAACCCAAGGGACCTCAAGAGGACCCCTTGAATCCAAGGACGTTTTGGCTGGGGATTCTGAGGAAACCAAGGAAATCTCTCGGGAGCGTTTTCACATTCAAGGAATTTGGTGAATTAGGACGCAGTGTAACGATGCCGATTTCCTAAAAATCGAATTTCCAAGGAGGGTCTAATGAGGCCCTTAGTCTTCAGAAAAAAAGGAAAATTTTGATTCCCGAATAGAACGCCCACTACGCTGGCCCATTTCCCGTTCAGCGAGCTACCCCACTACGAGTGGGGTAGTTAGCTCAACGGATGTTGAGCATCATTGCCTCCTCGTGGGAGTACACTCTAACAGACAAGGGAGTGCAGGACACTACTTGGGAGGCACTCTTTTCTTTTATTTGGGTGGTCAATGCACATAGCAAGGAAAATCGTCCACGTTTGTTCCACGCAGTGCACGGAGAATTCCGTTATATTTAGGAGAGTTTCACAGTTTCCCACGAGGAGATTCATTTTCTCCTTTTTATTTTCTAAAAAATATGGACAAAAGCAGATTGCCACACTTTCTTTCTCCATTTTACATTTGAGAAACTGTGTAACACGGTTGAGCTCAACTCAACCGTGTAAATGAGACATGGCCCCGGGGGGAGCGGGAAGGGAGGGCACACACACACACACACACACACACACACACACACACACNCTTGTCTTTTGGGTTGCTGCTCGTGAATTGAAGTTCTGGCCGACAGGGCCCCTCGCTGTTGGGGTACTCATCTGGGGTCTAATTCGTAAAGGCCCTTTCAACACACACACACAAACACACATAAAAACACATAAACACACACACACATGCACACACACACACACACGCCAACAATCATGCGCACACACACACACACACGCCAAGAATCATACTTCTCGTTAGTGCACGGACGGGGGGGGCGGGGAGAAGGGAGAGAGAGAGAGAGAGAGAGAGAGAGAGAGAGAGAGAGAGAGAGAGAGAGAGAGAGAGAGAGAGAGAGAGAGAGAGAGAGAGACGGTGAACTGTGCGGAGGGCCCCGCACAGCTTGCCGGCTCTCTCTCTCCCAACATTGTAGAATTGCAAAATGTGAATGAATATTTTCCCCAGGCCTCCCGTTTATTTCTTTTTTTTTGAATCTTTGGGCCTCGCTATACCACTCTTGAAATGTGAAAAAGACAAAAATGTGGCAGGTGCATCTGGCCATTTTCTACTGGGAAGTTCATTCTCATTTTGCACATTTCGAGAGTG